CCCCGCCCCGCCCTGCCGCGCGTGGAAACCGAGGCCCCGAGGGCGCCAGGGAGGCCGGCGGGGGACACGAGCAGCCGGCCTGGGAGCCCGGCCGATACTCCCGACGGGGCGACGCCGCGTCAGGCCCTGGCCATGCCGCATACCCCGCCCGTGGCCCCCCAGCGTGCTCTCCCCGCGAGGCTCGCATCCTCCAGCGTCACACCCCCTCACCTTCGAGGAGCGTCCTGCCTCGGAGTCCCCCTCCCCGCTTGGTGAAGCCCTTCGGGCCTCAGGCCCGTGCTCTCTCCTGTCCAAGAAGCCCCCAGGGCTGCCCCTGCTGCTCTGTCCTCGGGAGCTCTGGTGTCCCTTATCATCGGAGCTGGGCTGGGTCCATGCCCCTGTGTCATCCCCTCCCCAGTGTCCAGTTGTGGCCTGGGAAGTGCCCAGTGCCCGTTCCTTCTCAAATCTTTCCATGGCTCCCCAGTTCCAGAAGGATAAAAGTCCAGCCTCCTTACCATGGAGTTCAAGGCCCTCAGGGTCTCCACTGCCCAGTCCCCAGCCTTGCCCTCCCTTCCTGAGTCTTGCCCTGGGGGTCAGGGTGGAACCTCAGCTCAAAAGATGTCTCTAAGAAGCCACCCCAATTTCCAGACTCTGGGCCAGGACCCCTCCTATTCTTACAGCTTCTAGTGCTTCTACTTCTCTGAGCATAGGGAGGGGAGTCACCTGCACCACAGACTAACCTGGAATCTCAGACCCTTGGGCTGGGAGTCTGTCCTCCCCCTGCTTCCCCAGGCCCATGTTCTGGAGACTCCAAATTGGAAATGACCTCACATCTGGCCCCAGCCCAGCCATACAAGGCTACCTGCCTTCTACACTGGAATCTGGATAGACTTGGAGTAACCGCAATTCTGTGCACAGCAGGACAAGCTGTATCAGATGGCCACTGGTGACCAAGGTCTTGCGGGAACCCTTGCATTCTTGAACTTCCTGGGGCCGGCGGGGTCGTGGCAAGAGGCCCAATGCAGAGGAGCTCCCCCAGGGCCAAGCTGGACCCTCAGGCCGAGGCCGGGGCGGCAGCACGTCTCCCACAGCAGCTCTGCACAGCCAGGCGGGGCGGGAGGGGAGGGCAGGTGGGAAGGGGGAGCACGGGCGCTTGGCCAGCATGTCTGTCTGTCCGAGGAGGGAGAGCCCACCACTTGCCTGGACTCAGCCTCGATCGCCTGGCAGCCTCCCCAGCTCATTCCTGAGCTAAAGCCTGGGCTCTCTTCCCCATTTGGCCTGCTAGCTCCCCAGTCCGTTTCTCCTAATGTCCAGTGGGGCCCCCAAGGCCAAAGGAGTTGGAGGAGGGCCAGCTGGGAGGGGTCGCGACCCCAACTTGAGAAAAACCCAAGACGTCATGGGGTGAGGCACGCGTGAGAATGTTCGAACTGGGAACGTCCTGCTGTCCCCAGATGCCTTTCCCATCTTCAATCTGGTCCTGTCGCACCCTTCGCCCCCACTCCCTCCCTGTCCAGGCCTTTGTTGAGCCTCAGCTGGCTATGCTGTCCTCCCCTCACTCACCTCCACTGAAGCAGAACGGGGGCCCAAAGGAGTGTCCCGCCCATCCTCCCATGGCTCTTGCTTGCTTAGTGAAGGAGTTCCCCTACCAGGTGGGGACAATGATCCTGGGACTGCCGGCTGAGGTTGCCCTGGTGCTGTGGCTTTCCCGCAGGCCTTGAGGGACCCACTGCCTACCTGTAAAATGGTACTCTCTTGTTTCTGCCCTGCCACTTCCTGAATCAGACATGAGGAACAGGCTGGGGGCGCTGCCTGGCCAGGGAACCCTCCCCCCAGGCCCTTGGCCCACTCCTGCTTCTGAGCCATCGTGGAGTAAACTCCTCCTACAGCAGGGACAAAACACTCCTGTCCACATCTGTTGGGCCCATATTCATTCAAGTCCTCACTCAACAAATGCAAGGAACAGCTTGTCTTGAGACTCACCTTGAGAGAGGCCCGAAGGGATTATGGGGTTCATGGGGCAGAGACCAACACTCAGCCAATCCAAGGGGTCACTCTTGTCCCCTAACCCCCAGCATGAGCCCCAGTGATTCTCTCCCCTGCCATTTCCATTCTGGGGCCCAGCACCCTTCCCACCCAGACCTCCCCACATGTGGCCTGGCCACGCAACACCTGCCTCCACATAGGCTGTGCCCAGCAGGCAGGGACTGAAGGCTTCACTTCTGCAGCTAGTCCTCAGGGTCAGAGTGCCAAAGCCCTCAGAGTTCACCCCTGGGGCCCAGTGGGAAGCCTCCTACCCCTCAGTGTGGGTGCCCCAGGCCTGGGATAGCTGTGCCCTCAAGCCGGGGGAGGTCAGGCAGGGCCTGGCTCGGCTCTAGCCCCAGAGCCAGCTCCCCAGGCCCCTGGAACCCACCCCTAGAGGCAGCGCCAGGTCCCTGGTCTTCCCCTACGACAGCCCCTCCCGCCTGTTAGAGGCAGAAGGAGCTGCTGCAGTGGTCCTGTGTCATCTGTCATGTGCCTTTAGTGAAGCCATTGCCCAGAGACAGCACACTCCGGGGACCCTCCAGTTCAGTGATGACAGGAAGCAGGCACGTTGGGAGAGCTGTTCACAAACTCTGCTTCCTCTATCGAGTGGACGTGTTCATGGTTGACCCACATCTTCTCCTCCAGGCCCTCCTGGGGGACCCTCTGCTGCCGCACCCCTAACACGAGGGGCCTGTGCTCCTCCTCACTCTTGGCCTTGCTGTGCTCTTGCCAGTCCTGTGCCCCCGTCAGCCCCACCACACTCCTCAGTTGTCAGGCCGAGGGACTGGGGGAGGCCCCTGTGCAGGTAGGTGCCTGCACCTGGGCAGCCCTGCAGGCCCGAGGGTGGGGGCACAGGCCTGCTGCTCCTCAGTGGGCACGGGGATGGCCCTGGCAGGCCCCACTTCTATCTCTGGGCCTTGGTTTCGCTGCCCAGCCCCAAGCGGGCTTTGAGGGCTGTGGGCACCCACCCTTCCTTCCATCCAAGCCCGGGCTCCTCAGGCCAGGCAGCAGGGCCAGCTGGGCTTGCTCCCACTCCAGAATTCTGTTCTCAGACTACCCACCCCACCCCACCCACCCCTCCTTGCTGGCTTTGTTCCTGTCCAGGATGCACCTGGGTGGCCTATGGCCCCTGATTGTTTGCTGTGGGGCCAGCTGGGCCACATCGGGGAGAAAGAAATGTCAGACCCAGGATAAAGCACCCAGAACCAAACAGGGCACCCTAAGGTACTCGCCAGCTTCTCCTCCAAAGGGGAGGGGCACCGCAGACTTTGGGGCTCTGGAATTGAGGAAGTGGGGGGCCCTCACAGGGCTCCAGTTTATGCTCAGACTAAGGCAGGCTCTGAGAAGCCGAATCATGCCAGAGGAAGCTCCCTGAGCCGCCCACAGCCACGGCAGCCGCAGGAGCAACCGCCCCCAGCCCGTCTTCTAGCCCAGCCCCCAGGAAGATGCTTCAGCCCATGTCAGCTTCTGGGTGTCAAACAGTAACCCCGCTAGGAACCCCACGCCTCTGAGCTGATCTGGGCGCGTTGGAGTAGATGTGGAGACTGAGGCCTAGATAGAGAGAGGCCTTATCCTGGGCTCCACAGTGGGCAGAGACAGCCCTTTGCATGCCAGGGCTTGTCACTCACCACCCTAAGAATGGCCCTAAGCCAGGAGCCCAGGCACTGGCATGCAGCAGCTGCCAGATCATCAAACCAGGCCCCCTCTTCCTCCCCACCATCCCCGCGCCCCCAGCCTCCTGCCCCACCAGGCACCTCCCTACCATACCTCATAAAGAGCAAGATGCCTGGGTAACAGGGTCCAGGAGGAGCCCCTTCTTGGGGTCACCATTTTGCAGAAATGGAACAGCCCCAGCCCATCACAAGTGTTGGCAGACCTGCAGGGCTCTGGGTGTCCTGACTCCCACGCGTGCAACCTGCTTCCTGCCCGGTGATGCGCCATCCTGTGTTCTTCCTGGGCCTTTCTGGTTCTGCCTCTTCCTAGACCTGTAGGCTCCCTCCCATGCTCACTCCCTCAGAACCCCAACTCTCTCACACACACACACACACACACACACGATAATGGGGAGATCCTCCAGGGGCTGCTCGGCCTTCTCTTGCTCAGGCTGTGCCTGGTCACTCTCCACCCTTCTGATCCTCCCCCATGGCACCCAGCTCCTGGCCCTTCCCGCACACCAGCCTGCTCCCCCATGTGCTCACAGCCGTCGGGCTCTGCTGGGCCCAGGGAGCGTGGGGCCTTGTCCTCCTGGGCCCCCACCCTGCCTCCTGCACAGATGACCAGCTGCAGCCCAGCCAAGTCCTGACCTGCTAGGGTCAGAGCTCCAGCTGGCAATTCCCCAGCAACTCGGGACCCTGACTAGAATCCACCCCTCACCCACCTGACGCAGAGCACGGTGCTTGCAAGCACAAGACCCCTTATGTCTGTTCCTGTCCTCCACTTAAGGGACAACCTCAAACAACCCAAACCAACCCAGGGTTGGCCTGGTGGCGCAAGCAGTTAAGTGCGTGCGCTCCGCTGCGGCAGCCTGGGGTTCACCGGTAGGGATCTCGGGCGTGCACCGACGCACTGCTTGGCAAGCCGTGCTGTGGTGGCGCCCCATATAAAGTGGAGGAAGATGGGTATGGATGTTAGCCCAGGGCCAGTCTTCCTCAGCAAAAAGAGGAGGATTGGCAAATGTTAGCTCAGGGCCGATCTTCCTCACAACAACAAAAAACCAACCCAAGGCTGCAGGAAGTGCGGCCCTGTGAGGGTGGGGCCAGAGAGCTGGCCACCGTGTGCCACCAGTTCATGGCCACCCAGGTCCAGGACCCCAGCCCCATGAGGCTGTGGATGGAGGGTGTGAGATCCATTCTGGATCTCTCCTCTCCCCCAGGAACCTGTTTTCCTGCTTCCACCCATCAAAGCTGGCCCCTCTAGAACCTCCCCTAAATCAAGGTGAAAATGATTCCCTTCTCAGAGGTGCTGCCCTGGGACAGGAAGAACAAGGGCCAAGTTAAGGGAAGCAGAGCCCTTGGGTTGGCCAGGTCTCCCCACTCAATGGAGGCCCAGCCAGGCAGAGGAGCCTCATGAGCCCCACAGGCTCTGAGCCCATTAGGAAGGTGGGCTGCAGAAGGACGACCTCAGTGGCCTGCCTCAGCTGACACAACGGGCAGGAGAGATTGTTTTGGGGAGAGGGCTGGGGGCAGAGGCTGAGAGAGCCAGTGCTGCCCCCACTGCTCCTGCTGCCCAGGGATCCCGGGTGGGGTCACCCCTCCTGCTGCCGTGACCAGTGCCCGCTGCACGCAGGCCCTGATGTGCCTGCTTCAGCAGCCTCATGCTGACCACAGCAGAATGACCTCCGTATACTATAGCGGAGGACATGAGCTGTGTCTGAGCGACAACCCCAGGCCCCACAGCTGGTGACTGGGGAGGAGCCAGAGCCACACCTGGTCCTGGCTCAGTCCTGTCCACGCCCAGCCCTGCAGCCCAGGGGCTTGGGCGCTGCGCTCTGGGAGCCGGGCCACAATGGATGCCCACGGCTGTCAGCACCATTTGGGGGCTCGTGAGCACTCACAGGACACACCTTAACTCAGGCTAGTGGGTTTCCGGGCCTCCCCGGGAGCAAGTCAGTTATGGATGGACCCCCTGACCCTGGGGAGGGGGGGGTCTCAGGCTGGGAAGGGCGCCCTGAGTCACCCAGTGTGAAGTGGCAGGCAGCCCCAGGGACCCTTCTGCATGTGACATGTGCAACGTGACAAGATGCAGTGTTGTTCTGGGCTGTGCTCCATGGATTCATAATCATTCCACACGAGATGCACAGGAAAAAAGGCCTGACTGGTTGCTTGCCTTTGAGTGGTATAATTATTGATTTTTCTTTGTTTCTCTATAATTTTATATGTTCTGAAAATTATCTCCAAGAAAATACATTTCTAAAAAAACCTCAAGGCACCCCCCCCCACCCCCAAAACAGCACGTGTCTGGGGTCTGCTTGGGGAATGCCGGGGCTTCCATCCTTGTAGGGCATCTCGGACAGTGCTTCTGGGGCCTCGGCACCTGTCACAGAACCTCAGTGCTCACAGTGGTGGTCAGAACCTCGGCTCACTTGGGCCATCTGCCAAGAACGTAGCTATGCGCTGCAGCCCAGGGTGGGACTTCTCCCAACCCGCAGTCGAGTCCTTCCCCCACGACGTTTCCTGGCCCAAGAGCTACAGGGAGGGGCAGCCAGAGGGATGGTGGCTGGGCTCAGGGCTCACATGGCCACAGCCAGTCCCAGGAGGCAGCGAGGGTCCTGTTCACGCTATATCAGAGGGGCAGCAGGGAGCGGTGAGCTACAAAAGCCCAAGCCTGAGGTGTTTCAGCAATTTTAATACATTCAAGAATAATTAATAATAGAACAAAATTTAAAAGTATCATCAGTCAGCAGAAGCCTGTGGTCGACAGAAATAGAAACGTAACTGGCCCTTTTGCAGTAAAGCTTGTGCTTGAAGGAAGAAGAGGCAAAATGGCTTCTTGGAGGCTCCACATCAAGTGCCACTGGACTAAAGCACCTCAGAGCCTCACTCTTAGGTATATATGACTGTCTATAATCGTCTCATAAAGCCAGTAGTGTTATACGAATTCTATTAGAAAAGCAAAAAGTCATGCTTCTGGAATCTTTTCACCCGCGGACCCACATGCAAATGCTGACAGCCCAGGCCAGACCCTCTCCGTGGCCACTCTCTGCCCTGTCACCAACCCCTGCACACAATGCTGGGCGATGCCGGCCATGAGGGCACAGCCCATCAACAGCAGCCACCTTCTAAAACCTTCCTCCAAAGACACCGGTGACTCCCTGAAAACACAAGCCGCCAGGGCTGGCTCACTTGGCTGGAAGGGACAAATGTGTGACCTGCAGACCCAAGAAAGTCTTCTCTGTCAAAGGATAAAACGGCTTCTCCCCAACATAATAAATAAATAAACACATGGCCTCAGATCAGACACACTGGGTCCAGACAGGTGCACAGGCCTCCATGAGGGCAAACAAGAGCAAAAGTGGGACGCAGAAAAACCAAGTGGAGAGACATTTAAAAACAATGATTCTCCCCCTAACAGTCCCTCAGCTGACAGCACGTCAACAGAGCAGCAGAAACAAGAACGATGGGAACAGGCGTCCACCAGGGTCTTCTGCTGTGCTCCGGGGCTGGACTTTGCTCACCGGGCTTCTCCTTCCTTAGCTTAAAACGGGCATTTCACAGAACACCTCCAGTTGGGGCAGCAGCCGGAGCTGCCAGGTTAGGACATCTGGGCAGGGTTGAGGGCATTTATCAGCCACCTGGTGACCGTGGGCCAGCAGGCTGTACACACACAGCCCATTTCATAATAACCACATTCTTTTCTAGGCTATAGACACGTCAAACTCCTAGTCTAAAACATCATGCAGAACCCTCAGCCCACATGCTGGGTGGCCTTCTGCGGGTCCCCTCCTTGCATCCTGTGGTTGGGGCAGCGATCCTGCTTCCATTGGTGGCAGCTCTTCTCTTGCTACTTCGCAGGTGTCAAACTCAGTTGTATTCTGGAAGCAACAGGTCTTGGCATCGTTCAAATGAACAGCTACTGTGTTAGGCGCACATGAGACGTGGGTTCCTTGTCCCCAAGAAGGGCCAAGTCCCAGCCCGAGTCTTCTCAACAGAACACCTTGTTATAAGGCTTCAGTTCAAACCGCATAGAAGGGGCTGTGGTGCGGCTTCCTGTCGCTCAGAACCTGGAAAGGGCAGCATGGCAGAGGACCAACTCCATCCCTGGGCTGCAGTGCTGCAAGCCCGATGACATCCTACCATGGCTGTGGAGGCGGTGGCCTCTGAGACACTCTGTACGATGGCTACCCTTGCAAGGAGAGTTAAGGCACTTTCTTCGATTCTTGCCTAGGAGGGTTACGTCTGAGCCACTCAGAAGTGATTTTAAATCACACTGTCTGGGCTCCCTCAAGTTGTTCAGCTTTTTCTCCTGCTACTTCCACCTTCATTCCAGACTTTCACCACGCGAACGTCCAGATTTTGTGTTTTACCTCTACGTTTACTAAAACAATTTAACTTTGGTACTAATAAAACAAGAGCTATTTTCCCCCAGTATTGCTCTTAAGAAAAAAACTTTTTTTTTTAACTAGAGAACTCCTTATGACCAATCTTTTGTCCAGAAACCTAAAGTCAGAGCCAGGTTTCCCGGCCCCTTCAAGTCTGGAGGACAGGTCAGCAGCCCATCAGCAAAGGGGACCTGACCTGTCTCCTGTCGATGGAGGCACAGCCACGTGGACTGTCAACAGCAGCCGATCCTGAGAGCCAGGAACGCAGGTCTTGACCATCTGTTAGCTCACACTGAAAAAACCTAAATTGTGTTGGCTAGGACAGCCCTGTCACAGGGAAGGGGTGGCTTTCCCAATGCTGTGGTGACACACTCCCCGAAGCCCACGTAAAGGGCCGAGGCCCACTTGCCCAGCGCCAGGAAGCAAGAACCTCTGCCAGGCCCTGATTTCCCTACTTGGTTCTCACGGGTGATGGAACTTGCACAGCGAGCAGTCAAGAAGCACTGTGGCTACAGCTGTCACTAACCCTGTGTGAGCTGTCCATATAATTTAACCCCCTTTCCCAAGTTTTGCTGTGCCATGAGCCCTTCTTTTTTTTACACCCCATAGCACTAACGTAGTTCAATATTCTCTTCAGAAGGAAAACTCCGGCTGCCAATCAGCATGATGTGTGTTGAGCCCACGTTGACCTCTGACTGGACAGGTCATGAGGGAGGAGCCCAGTCTGAGTCGTGGGCCACAGAGGCCCGAGTTCTCCCAACTCGGAGGCCCCAACTTGAAGGCTCACACACTGTGGGGCAACCCAGAGAGTCACTGAAAGCTTTACAGGGCATGTAGGTAATGGCGTTGGTGTTGCTTGATAACTGTGGAGGGTCGTCCTGGTGTGCTCAGGTTTCAAAGTACTTGTAGATCGCTGTCACGTACAGCATCACATTTTGCCAATCGGGCCGTTCAGTCCGCACCATTTCATTAATGTCCTGACAGAGAAGGAAGAGGCCTGGTTAGAATTCTAGGTCAGCTCCTGGCCTGTCTCAACAGGCTCCTGGCCACAGCAATATGGGCTCTCGGGTTTGGGGGGGCTTAAAGGACCCTGATCACACACGTCAAAGGCCTGGCCAAGACGCTTGCTCCATCTTGACCAAGTGCCCCCGGGAAGCGCCTCCTCCCTGGGTGTCAGCACCACCCCCAAGCCACCCGCCCCTGCTCGAGCCCTGCCCCAGAGCCCCACACCAGGTCACCACCCTGCTCCCTGCCACAGCCCTCTCGGGCTGGAAGGGTGTCATTTCCTGTGAGGACCCTCTCCCCCACCTGCCTCTCTTCTTAAACCTCTCCTCTTGGTCACTTCTGAGAGCCCTTCTCACCCAGTCATCATCCTGGGAGTGCCTGTGTGTGCGGGGGCTCCCAGACTCAACATGCTAATACCCTTCGCCACGGCAAACATCTGAAACCATGGAAGACACTGCTCTCTAACTGTATCCTGCAGCGTACCAGTGATCTGTGAGATGTTAACTGATGCAGGAAAAGGAAGGTGGGAAACCCTGGACTTGACATATGACCAGGAGGCCTCCAAGAGAGACCTGCCGTTGCTGAAGAACATCTATGACTTTCCGAGGGAGCCAGTCTGAAGGGCACTGCTCTGAGATGTTCCATGGGTGAGGGACACGGAACGTGCTGCCAGAGCCAGCAGGATGGAACGGGCCACCCGTTGGTGACTTGGTATAGAAAAAAGAAAACATGTTTTTTCAATATAAGAATCTTGACTAAGGTCAAGGACTTAGGGTGGGGAAACTGCCCACTTTTTATATATTAGAACTTTACACGTGATATAAAATATCCAGATAATAGGAAATACTTCAATAACTCTAAATTCTCTTTCTCTCTATGCAATTGAATAGAAGCCACCCTAAAAAAGCATATTTCTGTAAATTCAGAAGATATATTTATAGAACTCTACATGACACTCTTGTAGTGTAAATACTTCTTCAAAGCTATCCAGTTGTTAAAAGTCAGGGTGATGGGTACCCTTGGGGTGGGGAGGTGGCACCGGGAGGCCCCAAGGGAGATCCTGGGGTCCGTGAACTGGCCCCAAAGGGTTCTTTACTCTGTGGAAATCCCCAAGCTATGCACCGATGATCTGTGGGTGTTCCTACACAATACCCCTCAGCACAGTTTATTTAAGGAAAGTGTCTCTAGGTGTGGAAGGACTGGCTTTGCATTTGGTTGCAATATTTTCTCCCAGAAAGCACGTCTGTCGTGAGCTACTGCAGGCGCTAAGCAGAGGCCATCGGGGACCCACAACCCGTGGTTTTCACAGCTCATTTCCCGCACCATGAGCAGCAGCTTCCTGTAGCCCTTGTGAGGTGCGGGAACCGCCTGTTCAGCCTCTGAAGCCACCTTCCTCGACTCAGCACTCACCCTACCCTCTCCCTCTAGTTTGATAAAAGGCAGATAGACCTGCTAGAATATCCCATTGACAATGACACTTATAAACTTGAACCCAAGGATTCAGTTAAGGAAGAAGGCGACTCTAAGGAAGAATCCAGCTCAAGGCTGCAGGGACTGCAGTCAAGACAACCCACCCGACTGGGGGCGCTTCCTTGGGATGCTGCACGAGAGGCATAAGGCGCTCAGAGGGCAGGGGTGAAAGCCCCCTCTGCATCCCCACCGACGAGAGGCTCACTCGCTGGCACAGGGACGGCGTGGGCCCCATGCTCACCCAGTAGCCTCCTTATTATCAGGCCCTGCACCACCCAGGGATCTCCCTGAACAAGAAGGAGGCTCTTCCTAACAAAAAGGAGGGGCCCTCAGTGACTCAGGGGAGACGGCGGCTCACCAGAGTGGATTTGATGCCGACGCTCTCAGCTGCCTGGAAGGCCAGCGTGAAGTTCCTTCGCTGTAAAAGAGACTGTGTGACTGGAGTGGACAAGGCCAGGAAGAAGGCGACCTGGACTTTCCCACATGCTGCTGGGAAAGAGGGACACCCACCCCCATGTGGTATCAACACACACCTACACAGAGGCCCTCACACCTCCCGGCCAATTCCTAGTGCCCTGGTCACGTGCTTTCCGCCCCTCGCAGGGCCCCGCCCACTCGTCTTGTCACCAGCTGTGGAGTGATCCCCAAACTTGTTCCTTCCTTACTGTGGAAAAGGGCCACTTCTGACATGGTGGTCCTGAACTGCCTGGGCACATACCCCAAAAGCTAATAAGAAACACCTGTCAAATGAGTTTCCTCCCTGTGGGAACCTTCAAGGGCTGTCTGAAGGATGGGAGGGGGCTGATGCGGGGGTGCAGCAGGGGACCAGAAGAGGGCTTGGGCTTGGGTCCCCTTCCAGTGCCCATCGGGGCAGGGGCTGCCCCCCAATCCTGTCCCCAAGCAGTACCCTGAATGGGACGCCTCAGATGACGCCCTGGACTGTACAGAGCTGTGCTTTCAGTCAGTCCTTGGCCTGGAGGTAGCAGGAGGCCAGCCTGCTGGGGGTGGCACTGCCCAGACCACTCATGTCTGGAGCAGCTCTCCTTGGCCAGTTCTTGGTCCTAAATGTGGTCACCCAGAAAGGCTTGACAGCTCCCACTGGGAATGTCATCACTTGGGGACCAGCCAAACGTCTCACACAAGGTGGTCAAGGACTGGCTGGCTCAGCACAAAAAATCCAATCCCAGAATAAGACCAAGTTGGGTCGGGGCCATCGTGAGCCAGTGATGTGGTGTGTGAAATCACATGGATAGAAGGTGCTGCCTGTTTCTCACCCCCACCTCTCCCTTTGGGATGAGACTCCGGGAGCTGGCCGTTTCGTAGCCTGCCTTACCTTATCTTGGCTGTTCAGTTCTTGATATGGAATGTGGGCTGGAAGGTACGTATGCAGGAGAGCACAGAAGGCCAGCCCATCATTCCAGCTGCTGCTGAAGTTTGTAATGTCAATATTCTGAGGGAAAAAGAAAACCATGTAAGCAAGAGACACTGGGATCTTCTCAAGACACTCCGAGGAGGGTGGAGGAGGCCTCAGACACCACATGGCCTCCAGACCCCAGGCAGAGTGAGCCTCAGGAGAAAGCATGGTGTGCTGGGGGCCGTGTCCCAAGACCCAGCTGGTGTCCGCAACTGACCCTTCCATCGATTCTCCACCCCATCCCGCTCACCACCTGCAGATCGCTGCCATGGCAGTGGCAAAGGTGTGAGCCACCCCACCCTTGCTGGAAAAACCAGGGGCACGGGGAGCTAGTCCTGCAGCTCCACAGCCTAAAGGGACGCTGGGCAATAGCAGCTTTATGTTAAGAACAGTTATGATTCAGCCCGACCTCCCCTACTAGGGACTCAAAGCAAGATTTATGGACATCAAAACCCTGTGTATTCTGAAGACATCAGCAGCAGCCCTCGTGCAGTGGGAGGATCTGGAGCCGACACTGCTGGGGCCATGTGCTTCCACAGCGCTTCTCCGAGAACCACCTTGACCTTTTTGTAAGAGGTACCTTACTCCATATTCAAATTAAATTATTTGCAACTACGAAAGTAACATATCATTCAGAATATTTTATGATATGATAATGCAATTCAGCTAGTACGTAACCTTTCTCCTTATTTGCAAGAATCCTTTTTTTGTTGTTGTTGTTGTTGTTTTTTGTGAGGAAGATCAGCCCTGAGCTAACATCCATGCTAATCCTCCTCTTTTTGCTGAGGAAGACCGGCCCTGAGCTAACATCTACTGCCAATCCTCTTCCTTTTTTTTCCCCTGTTTCCTCCCCAAAGCCCCAGTAGATAGTTCTATGTCGTAGCTGCACATCCTGCTAGTTGCTGTATGTGGGACGCCGCCTCAGCATGGTCAGACAAGCAGTGCGCGCCCAAATCCGAACCTAGGCCGCCAGTAGCGGAGCGCGCACACTTAACCGCTAAGGCACGGGGCCGGCCCCTGCAAGAATCCTTTTGAAGATGAAACTCCACAATTAAATTTTGGAAATTCACACACTTTATGTAAACGCCACAAACTGAAAAAGAGAGCACCTCCCAAACACCTCTTGTTCGATGTCTCACTGTTCATTTCACGCAGCCTTCAACTGCATCCAGAGCTAGCTGCCTAGGTGACGGAGAAAGCCCAACTCTTATTGCTGAAGGCAGACCACCAGCTCCCAGGGACTGGTTCTTTTTTTTTTTTTTTGAGGAAGATTGGCCCTGAGCTAACATCTGTTGCCAATCTTCCTCTTTTTTTTTTTTTCCTTTTTCTCCCCAAAGCCCCCAGTACATAGTTGTGTATCCTAGTTGTAGGTCCTTCTAGTTCTTCTATGTGGGATGCCACCTCAGTATGGCTTGATGAGTGGTGAGCAGGTCTGCGCCCAGGATCCGAACCAGCAAATCCCAGGCCACCAAAGCCAAATGCATGAACTTAACCCCTGCACCACCGGGCCGGCACCCCGGGGACTTGTCCTTATTCCTCCAAGAACAAGTGATCACAGAATAGCAATACCACTATTTCTAGAGTTTTGCAAAGTCTGCCATCCCTGAGCCTCCTGTACAAACTGTTAGGTCTTGACACTGAGCAGGGAACCTGCAGCTCAGGGCTGAGGGGAGCCGGGCAGGATGGGGACCAGGCCGGGGAGACCATCTCAGCCCAGTCTCACAGCTCGAGGTCAGTCTCCTTACAAAAGCAGCAGGTAATGAGGAGCACAAGGCTGAACTTTTCCTAAGTTTTGTCATCAAAATGACCTATGGGGCCGGCCCGGTGCGTAGCGGTTAAGTTCACGCGTGCCACTTCAGCAGACTGATGCACCAATCATCAAGCCATGCTGTGGCGGCATCCCACGTATAAAATAGAGGAAGATGGGCACAGATGTTAGCTCAGAGCCAATTTTCCTCACCAAAAAAAATATATATATATAAATGAACTGTCTAGCCCCTAACTGCCAGCGCCCAGAACACTGCCCTCTGGGGGCTTCTCCTCAAACCCGAGCCTTCTGAAGGGAGCAGCCTGTGGGCCATTAGTCCAGAGGTCATTCCCCCTCAGTAACCCAATCATCTGCTGCTGCCAGTCTCCCGACCTGGCCTGGAGGTGCTGCTCATAAACTGCTGGGAGGAAAGTTACCAGGTTAAGGCACAAAGAGATGCAAACCTGCCAAGAGTCACAGGGAAAGGCTGCATGAGCTTGTGGTGGCCAGCGGGCTGCCATCTGAGAGTGCAACCGCTAGCCGTCCAGTGACACCAGCCCTCCCCCAAACAACTGGGCCCGGGCAGATCCTCCCTGCCTCAGTGCTGCCGGCCTCACACTTCCTGGCCTTGAAGACACAGTCCCAATAGGCACCCCGCTACATTCCCGACGGGCCCGGGCTGCCCTCCGAGGGGCCTCTGCCCTGGTGGACAGTAACAGCCGCTGCCTCCCATGAAGGCGCCACGCCATGAACGGTGCTCGAGAGTTACTGCTGCTAACCGCCAGAGCAAACGTGCCTCTTTCATCTCCTCGGACTCTCAGGAAGCAGCAGCCAGGGGTGTCAGCTCCATCTGGGAGGAAACTAGGACCAGGGGAAGGAAGTGACCTGTCCAAGGTACTGGGCTGGCAGCAGGGAGGACAGGGACAGGAATCCTTGTCCCAAGCATCCTATGGGCAGTATGTCATTTTATTTTTCACAATCACCCAGGAGCCTTTTTAAATAAGGAGGCTGGAGCTCAGAGAGGCCCGGGTCACGTAGCTGGTCCATGCGATTATTCAAACTCAGGTCTAAGTGCAAAGCCTGTCTGTGCTCCTCCGAGGAATCCGACTAGTCCTTCTGACCAAGAGCGCCGATGAAAGAGCCGAGGACACCGGGCATTGTCACACGGACAACAGGGCAAGAAACTTTTAAATGACATGTCGGAGCTCTTGTGCGAGGCCAGTGGCAGCATACGGCTGCTGAGGACTCCTGACCCTTGCCCCCAGAGGTCACAGTCACTTCTGGAGGAAAACAAATCTCCACTTCCTGCCGCCACAGCCTCTTCTCTAGCTCCCTGAAAGGCAGGCGGCTCTGGCAGGGTCGCCTACGTGCCTGGCCTCACTGCGCCTCGCAGCAAAGGCTCCTGCACTAGAGGAAACGGCTGCGCCCCAGGACCCAGCTGTGGGAACCCCAGCCTTCCCCACCTTCCTCAAGACAAACCCAGCCCCAAACCTGGAACCTCCAGTCAAAGCAGCAACTTCGTTTATAAAACATGCCAAAGCGATTTAAACAATGAGGAAACAATGGCCCTGTGAGTTCCAGGGTAGGGGGAGTTCACTTTTAAATACCTGACAATCAAACTCTCAAACAACTTCCAAACAACTAAAGCTCAAACCAAGGCAGGCTGGCCGGGTCACTGCCTCCCTTACCCCTCAGGAGCTGGAGGGGAGCCGGCCGGGCGCCCCACCTGGCAGAGGACAGCAAGGCCAATAAGCACCAAACCCAAGTGAGACCTTTGAGCGCCCTCCTCGCCCCTCCACTCCCTAACCCTGTCCAGAGATACCCTGGGGGCAAATGAGCCAGGTCCTGAAATAGACAAGCTTCAAAGGGAGTGGGGAAAAGCCTACAGCCTGAGAGCAGGCCCCAGGCAAGGCCGCCTCCACAGCAGTGCTTGGCCTGCACCCTCTGCTCCCCGCCTCACCCGTTACTGAATTGTTTTTAATGTTCAAGGCTGAAAAATCAAACTACTATGAAATAATGCAGACTGAATATAGAAAAGTCTATAAACAACAAAGCTGGTTCTGAGGCTGAAAAGCACAATGCTAGAAAATCCAGATGGGAAGATGGGAAAGTTCCCCTGGCTTCCTCTCTGGAGCTCTGAATTTCATGGCTATCACAGCCTGTTAATATAATGACAGGATTAATAGGAATAAACGCACAGAAAGGTACAAAACTGTATTAAATTATCAGAGAAATGGCCGTTCCCACAGGAGCCAGTTCCCTTCCCCACACTAAAGCCATGACCAGTGCCCAGCGGGGCCTGCTCACACCCGGTCCTCCAGGCACTGCCGCACATACATAGAGCTGCAGCCCACCAGCTGAGCCCAAACCAGGACCACCAGTGGGCTCCAGGCTTCCAGGGCAGAGCAGTGACGGGAGGAAGATCCTGGGGCCCTAACGGGGTTTACCTGGTGATGGAAACCAGAAGGCAGATGCGTCTGCAAGCCACCACCAGACTGCACCTCTCGCCATCGCCCCCTCCACTCCCCTGCTTCCCGCCCGGACCCTGCAGAATGGCCTGCATGAGGTCTGGGGCCAACCTCTCCATTGCTGCTTTCTGAGGAAGGCAGCAACAGGTGCAGGTAAATCTGCCTGTCACTTCCTGGTCCCTGCAACGCATGGTCACTTCACCTGCCCACGAGGGCTAGGTGAACAGTACCGACCCTAGATTTTCTTGGCAATTGAGGAAAAAAGCTCAAGTTTTTGTGCCTTGGAAAAAAACAACAAAACACCACCAGTACAAAGTTTTCGGGCAGGGGTGTGAGCCAGGCCTGACATTTACAGGCCGCCGGCCCCCAGTGAGCAGCTTCCCTCCTCTAAAGTGGACAAACCCCAGCCCACCCAAGACGAGTTGTTAACACGCTTTGAAACCGTGAAGTGTTCTGGACACGCAAGGGATTCTTATGGTCTTGTTTACTTACTGCAGAGGAGACAGAAACATACTCTGTAGTGGATGGCACCAATCCCATCCAGGACACCAACAGGCAACAGAATCATCAAGAATGTCCCCAGGGTGCTCTTCCCTCACTGAAGCCCCTGCTCCCGGCCAGATGGTCACAATTCGGCTGACCCTCACAGCACTTATGTAACTTGTAAACTTTCACCTGCCACCCAATGGGGCCTTCATATAAAAACGTGGAGCAACCCCACGTGGTGTGTGGTGTGTGGTTCCTTTCTACTCTCTCTCTGAGTAAGGTTTGGATGAGGGACTCAGATAACAAGCTACCTCAAAATCCCAACTCCTAAATAT